ATTACGATGCGTCATATGTAGGACAAACAAAGAGACAATTGAAAACCAGAATTAATGAACATAAGTCTAACAAAAAACAATCTGTTGTCTCTCAACACATATATGAGAAAAATCATCATTTAGACTGGGACAATGTTAAAATTTTAGATCATGAATCGAATTATCATAAAAGATTAATCTCAGAAGCGATTTTCATAAAACAACAAAAAAATGGCCTCAATATTATGGACGAAGTTGAATTGTTGGACCATGTATACTTTCCGTTACTCAATATCTCAAAAACTTAAATGATGATTTTCATATTTGTTGCTTGACGCTTGCGCGGTTAAAATCAACAGAACCTTTAAAAACACAACATGACGCAAGTCCCACTCATTTTAAGTTTGTGACCACGTTAGTTGACATCTACAAAAATTTTAATAATTGACATTTTGATAATTTTATGTATTATACACAAGATGTAAGTGATAATTTACGCTTCATTTAGATTGTAATATTCGTATCATATAATAGTAAGTTTGTAAAAATCGATAGACATTGTTTGACAATGCATTGTGACACGCACAGAGTTTGACCAATATGACGTTAAAAATCATCCATGGACAACACATGGGCTTCAAGGAAAAATCGGAGACATGGGATTGCATGGGAGACAAAGTTAATCAAAAAAAGAATGGAGATCAACAACCACATTTGCGCTTTTTGGAAGTATGATTAGACTCGATTCGCGTATTATTAAATCATTAATGTAATTTTTCGGTGGCTGAAGAGACACAAGTTCAGTATCGAAACGTCCCACAAATTTTGTCTAATCTTATGATCTTTGTTAATTTAAAACTATATAATAAAATTGATCTTCTCAAATCTGCTCGTAGAGGCCATGATTTATATTATTGTTTATTTAAATAATTAAATTTGAATAATTAAAATTCGTAAAATTCAAAATTTTATTTATATGAAAAATTAGACTTTATTATTTTATATCTTAAGTAGACAATAAACAGATAATTTTCACTTTTTTGGACATTTATCTGCCCGATTTCTAAACAATCAATTAAATATCTAAATTCCCTGTGTTTGAATTGTATCAGAAAATTAAACTGATAAAAATAATTATTACATTTGTAATCTCTTGTTAGTTGCTCTTTGCAAGTTTTATATAATTCTTATGAGTAAAACTCAAATACGAAATGGATAATGCGCATCATCGTATATAGCAGTAAACAAACAAATTAGTGGCTAAACACTATTTTTTGTAAAGTTTTTGGAAGGTTGCAGTAACATTTCTTATGAAATATTACAGTGACATGTTCTTATAATATCTCTATATTTCTATATCGCATTGCAACTTGCAAGATTGTAATATTGCTATAATGTAATTGAAATGTTCTGTGCTGTACGGGTAACTACATTACCGATGATAAGATATCATTAAAGACCGATAATTTTTAGCGCACGGGATTTAGCGTGATTGTAACAAAACCAGAGTTGTGCCGTAGATTTCAAAATTACGTCTACATGTATTGTTTACGTATTGTCTACATAATATTTACATAGATTTTTTTCATAGACAATGTAAACTACATAAGCATTATAAATCAGAATGTAAAAAGAAAAGAATGATTATATTATAAAATAGTTAATGTATCTGTATATGTGATTTTAGTAAAATAAAGCAGAGAAAAATGTAACGCTATTATACAATAACCTTTTACGTTTTTCTCTGCCTTACTTTATCTTACGTTCACGACTATGACAGACATCTCGTTCTCTGTCATCAGCTTTCGGTTGCTTAAAGCGTCTACACTATTGTAGACGCCGCTAAAATCTCTATAGATTTTAAGCCCTAAGCCTTAAGAAATTGACCAATCAGAGTCAAGTATAAAGAGGATACTCGACTGTGATTAGTCAATTTCTTAAGGCTTAGGGCTTAAAATCTCTATTGTAGAGGCCGCATAAGGCCATTGCAAGTGAACAAATTTTAGTTGTAACCGTAAGGCCGTAAGCAAATCTACCAATCACAATTCAAACATTCTTATTACGTTTTAAAATGCTTGATTGTGATTATTCGATTTGCTTACGGCCTTACGATTACGACTAAGTGCCGGTCTACAATAGGTGATTTAAGCCCTAAGCCTTAAGAATTTGACTAATCATAGTCGAGTATTCTCCTCATACTTGATTGGTCAATTTCTTAAGGATTAAGGCTTAAATCACCTATTGTAGACCGGCACTAAGGGCTATGGCACATAGAAAAACTCAAGCAGTAAGACTTAAGACTTAGGGCCACCGCACAAGCTTTTCCGTAATGCATTACGTTAAGGGCATTCTACAATGGCAGTAACAAGGCTGTAGGAGAGTATACTGTTTTTAGTGATGTTAAGACCGAGAGCAACGAAATGGGCAATTCCCATTTGCTCTTAAAACTTTTAAGAGCAAATGGGAATTGCCCATTTCGTTACTCTCGGTCTTTATATCACTAAAAACAGTATACTCTCCTACTCCTACAGCCTTGTTACTGCCATTGTAGACGGCCCTTTACGTTAAGTACTAATTCTAAACCTAAACTCACACGTAATCTTAAACTTTAGTCAACGCACAGAGAAAATCGTAACGTAACAAAAGCATATTACGTTACGATTTTGTTTGTGGTGCACCTCGGCTTCCACTCCTCAACGCTCGGTCTAGATATACTATGTCTATGGTCTTACTGCTTATGTTTTTTTATGTGTCACGGCCCTAAAACTTTTTAATGTGCAATGGCTTTTAGTCTTCTGTTTATAGTTATGTTTAAAGCAGGGTTGTGTCGTAGATTTCAAAATTACGTCTACATGAATTGTTTACGTATTGTCTACATGATATTTGCATGGACTTTTTTCATAGACAATGTAAACTATGTAAGTTTTATAAATTAGATGTCAGAATGCGAAAAAGGATGATTATATTATAAAATAGTTAATATATCTGTATATATGATTTCAGTAAAGTAAGACAGAGAAAAACGTAACGCTGTTGTACAATAGCCTATTACGACTTACGTTTTTTTCTGCCTTACTTTACGTCCATGACTATGACAGACGTCTTGTTTTCTGTCATAGTCATAAACCTTTGGCTGCTCAGGTTTCTGTTTGTAATTATATTTCAAGCATGAAGGAAGAGTAAGGAGAGTTATCTACCTAGATTGAAAGTGGTTACGAAAAATGTTCCGTATGTGGCCAGGTTTGCCGAATGGAATAACTTGGACCATTTCGTCGCCATCTTGAATCTTCGTATATGTATAGTGTTACGTTTAGTTGTGGTAGTAATTAGTAAGTAGTGTGTCATCCAACACACTTACTGATCACTAATACAACTAAACATAACACTATATATGTACGAATATTCAAGATGGCGACGAATTGGTCCAAGTCATTCCATTTGGCAAACCTGGCCACATACGGAACATTTTTCGTGACCACTTTTTTTCTCTCTACACTATCGAGATAACTCTCCTTACTCTTCCTTCATGGTTTCAAGCATGAAACATAAAAAACAAAACATAAAGAAAGTCTTCCACAAACCATATTTCATAGATTACTCATTGTTGATATAGATGACATGTTACATATAGTTTACATTGTTTACGCGTATACGTAGACTATTATAGTTTACGGATAAATGCCCAACCCTGGTTTAAAGCATAAAACATAAAAAACGAAATATAAAGAAAGTCTTCGACTTTTTCTTCTTTCTTTTATGGCTGGTTGGGCATTAGTCGCCCATACACCATTGTTTCTTATGGGTTTGTAAAATATAAGCAAAATTCCTCTTAAGAGAGGAGGAGTCCAAAAAAAGGTCCAGACAAAGGACATACGCAGCACGCAAAAACACGTCCGAATCCGACACGTTGTCAGTCGGAACTACCCACAGAAGCCGTATCTACGGCCAGTATTCATAGTCCGTTCTTATATTCAAGATCGTCTTAAGGATCGGCAGGAGTGACGGCCAAACTCCGAATTGATCAAGAGACACGGTAGTGTCTCGCGGCAAGTCACGCGCAGCAACAGCAAGGCACCCCGGGTATCTATACGCGAGTCGGCTAGTATGAGAGTATCTTTCAGATTTTAGATTATTTTATTGAACCTCAATAATGGCTGAACCAATCATATTTTTAATAGGCTTAATAGATAGTTTGGGTTTAAATTATATAATAAAAGTGTCATTATTTTTTTTCTACATGTATCGTGAACAGAGGTAATATGATTTCAAAGTCGAAATGTGGAAATTTTCATGTAAGAAACGTCACCGTGGTCACCGTCATCGCTACGCGTCGCTACACGTATACTACACGTACACAACACATGCATAGATATATAGTAGTCGCGTTACACGTATATACACGTACACAACCATGCAATAAATAGCAATGTATACACGTTGTACAGTTGACTTGAAAAGTAATTTATGTATATGTAAAAACAGAACAAAGCATTGCAATACATATATTTATAAAAAAAAGATGTGTATATTCTATAATATGTTTATTATAAGATATGTGTGTGTGTGTAATTTATAGATTCAACTACCCAGAAGTATGAAAAATAAATGTATTTATAAACTTATTATAAAAATTTATAAATTATTAAAAAAAATAGATAGAAATAAAATATAAATAGAAATTTATGACTTAATTGCACACACAGACTGTGTTTCACCAATATTACTTATCTATAATTGCATATGATGCATGACAAATAACTATATGATGACAATCCTTTGACAAATGCATTTGAATACACTGGATTTCTTTTTACATCTTTCGTTTTTGATATATAATCAAGATACAAGACGGATTAATCAAACAATTTATAGCATAGCACAAGCATATATAATAATATATTTTAATTTTAATGATAATAATTTTTTTAAAAAAAGAATGTACAAATAGATATTGTTCAATAGAAATCAAAGAAATAAAAGGTTTGCTTTTTATAATTCGGAAATATAATAGATATATTAATTTTATCTGACTGCTCGTAAACATGTGTATAGTAGCAAAACATGTAATGAAAAATTAAAAAAAAAAAGAAAGATATAACTGCTTTTTGTCCTCTCGTGGTAAAAAACAGTAATGCAAGGGTTGCAACGCTAGGCTAACAAGCGCCCACTTTTTGTAAATTTTATATTTGTTTATGCACATTTATGCGTATATATATGTATCAATAATATCTAAAAATTATATATATGATTAAAAATTGTATGACGATAAATAATAACAGTAAAATAATAACTCACAGAGTGAACTAATATACAATATGTAAAACCCAATTATTATAAAAACATACGAATATTTTCAAAAGTTACACGGTAAAGGTATTATTTTTATAAAAAAATTATATATACTGTCCTTTAAATTTATATTGAAGTAAAAAAAGAACCTTGTAGAAAACGATATTTGAAAAAAGCCTTTTCGATGAGATGCGTATGGATTGCACGTATTCGCACGTTCACACGACAGCTTACATTTGCATTGTGCTAGCAGAATGCTAATAAACTAACCTCATTTTTTGATACATACCGTGACAACATCGTGCGAGCATCGTCTGCTTTATCGACATAAAATGGCACAATGACAGCATAGTGTCTGTATGACATGCCGAGCACAGCGTGCGTTATCATGCTGGCACGCTTGGTTATCGAGGCATAAGAAACAATAAAATCAGCTGTGCAATAAAAATCAATATTACCTGATTTGTAAAATCAATAACAGATGACAAATCGGTACGCGTGTATATGTAGTTACGGATCTGAGCGCGCGAGCTCTACGCGATATCATTGGCAAACTTTGATCGCTTATAACTCAAAAACTATTGCAACCTTAAAATTTTTATATTAGAATTTTTAATTCTGTTTTATCTCTAGAATACACTATTAAAGTATTGTACGGAGGTTGTAAGACATCCTGTATACATATAACAATATTATATTGTTATATCATATTCTGTTATATTATAACACTAAAAAAACAATGTTAGATTGCAATAATATTTAATACAGTAACCATTGTAACATTACATAGTAACACATATGATATATTTCAGTTATATATCATACTAGATGGCGTTTATTCCTCGCGCGCTCGGCACGTACATATGCTTCTTACTGTTTTCTTTCGGCTCCTAGACGTTGCAGCGCGATGATATATAGCCTATGTTACTCAGGAAGATCTAAGCTATCCACGAGAAAGATTTTTTGAAATTGGTTCAGTAGTTTCTGAGATTACCTCGAACAATGGAACAAACAAACAAACTTTTCTCCTTTATATAATAGTATGATATGATATGATATGATAAGTAACTTGTGTTATATTATTTGTTACTGCCACGTTATATTGTTGCAAACAGTGTTTACTGGGTATAATAGTCTACGTCTGCGCGTAAACAATGTAAACTACCCTGCCGAAAATGGTCGATTAAAACCGATTAAAACATAATCCGTTGTAATCGGTTTTAATCGGTTTTAATCGGTTCAATCCGCGTCCGGATTAAAAAGTAATCGATTTTAATTCCGAACGAACTATAATCGGTTTTAATATCGCTTTCGCGGATTATTTCCAATCTAAAATCATTACATTCTAATCCATATTGTTGTCAATCCAAATAAACACGAATAATCGAATGGATATTGTGGCTGCCATAGGTCGTCACATTAAGCACAATCCGCGATACAATAGTGCGACCCGCAACTTGGCGGACACGCGCTGGCACGTCCGCGCGTAGTTCCGGGCGGCGCCGCTACGCGGCGAAGGTCAAGCGAGCCAACCTGGACGTAGAAAGCGGTCAAGCGGGGATATAAGGCGGACCCTCTGCGGAGAATTCGTATATTTGTTTTTAACAACTGAGTCCGTTTCAATTGTAGAAACACCGATTCAATAATTGATTGTGACTCATAATAACAGCAAATCCGACTTCACACTACATAAAATCAATTTACTTT